ACAGATGTGACCCAGGTCATTAGGAAACACGCAGAGAAAGTTTCTGGTGGAGTTGAAATCACACGAATCATCGATTTTTAAAACGAGGGTTTTTGTGCCTCGTGGTGTCATTTGTAGGATTTTAGACTTTTTAAGATTTTGGTGTAAATTGTCTTTAGGTCCTGACAGAAATTAATAACTCATGTTCTCTGAAAAAGGAACAAAGAAAATCCGTCATCTGGATCAGTTTGTAAACCTGTAAAAACTTCGACCAATGTCTGCCACGAGGTACCAATCTGATGAACCAATCACACGCCTCCCTGTCTCCCTGCTCGCTCGCTGCCTCTTGCGTGCACTAGCCTGCACTCAAAGCATGAGCTGAGGTCCGCTTCTGGACCAATGAAGCTTGTGCATGTAAGTGAGGGGGCGGGGCTTTTGCGGGAGCACAGAGGGGAGGGGGGGGTGGGTGCAGACGGAGCACTGAGGGAATGCTACTTTCAAAATCATGCTAGTTTTTAAAAATTACCAAACCCTGCCTTTAATAATGACTAATAAGAAGCCAGAATGCTACTAATTAGCATGCTAATACGCAGCTAGTTCATGGTACATATTGGTATCTTGATTTAAAGTGTTATCAGAAATCCTTCAGCCCGTTCCCTAAAGAAGTGTTTCTTAATCCTGGTCCTGGGTGACCCACTGCCCCGCATGTCTTAGATGTGTCCCTCTTTCAACACACCAGACCTGATTGAAATTATTTAGTCATTATCAGGCTTCCTGATGAGCTGATCGTTTGAATCAGGCGTGTTGGAAAGTGGAGGATATATAACATGCAGGGCAGTGGGTCCCCTCAAAAATCCTGTCATATACAGTTCAACTGTTTTCATACAGATGTTCTCCAACATCAGTTTGTCTCTGAGGATTCTGTCTCTGATGTGTTTTCCCCTTATCAGTGAACGTGGTGGACTTCTGTGGTCAGACGATCCGAGGTGACGGCATGATCGTCAACTCGCACCAGGAGTCTAAGAAGTACTACTTTGTTACCATGGGGACCGACTGTCACCTCACCATGCAGGCCAGCTCGCCCAAAGACAAGGTCCAGTTCCACTTCCGCTTCTTCCTGGTCTACAGCTTGCTACGCGTCGCCCCTATGAGCCCCGCCCCCGTCTTCCCAGAGTCCCCCCGTGGCTCCGCCCCTTTAAACCCCAGACTTGAGCCCACCTCGGGGGAGAGCTCGGGGGATCCGTGTCACGCCGGCTCGTATGTTCAGTTCTACGACGGACGGGACAGGAACTCGCCCCCCCTCGGGCCTCCTCTGTGCGGGAAGAGCCCGCCCCGACCCGTCCTGTCCACAGGAAACTACCTGACCCTGAGACTGGTTACCCGGGGGACTCAGCCCAGAGTGGACTTTGTTGGGGACTTTACCTCCTTCAGACTGGGTAAGAAAAATATTAACATGTAACAACAACTGTAAGAATGTGATAGATATAATGTGTAACAGATTATTGGAGTACAATACTTTTTTATGCTTTTGTGTACAGAAAACTCTGAAAAAGTTTTAGCACCAGACCTACAGTCTTCTTATTCTGCTGTCCCATAATTCATTTGTGATTCTTTGCAGGTTTCAACCAATCAGAGTGCAGCAGTGAGCCTTATTTCACTTGCAGGAACGGGAAGTGTATCCCTCTCGGCCTGGTGTGTGATGAAAAAGGCATCGACAACTGCGGGGATGGAAGTGACCTGGAGGAGAACCTGACGACGGGCTGTAAAGGTCAGTTAGGTTTCAATGCTGATATAAAGATGTGTTCCTTTTAGTAGGAGTAGTAATGATTTATTTCGGTCACAAGAAAAAAACTAAAACATTTTGACCGAAAAGGTGTTGGCTGAAGCTTTAGCTTATTACACCTACCCTTGTTACAAATCTTATTATTTAAGACACTCACTAGTTTGGTTACAAAAAACAAAACATATCAGAATCAGAATTTGTTCCAAGAATTTCTTTCAAAAATAAAACAAATGAAACAAACAACCCCTTTTACCCAAATACACCTGTTCTTTATGTTTGTCCTTACCTTTGTTTTTTTTATACGTACCTGTTCCCCTTAGTTCATACCGGCTCTCTCTATTTTTCCTAAAGTTTGAATCTTTGTTCAAACTTAGAAGGAAAACCTGGATGGGAAAAAAAAGTCCTCTAAGTGGAGTGAAGTTTAATCTCCTATCATTTGACCCAAATTTGTTTTCTTAATCTAGCAGGTCAGCTTCTACCTCCTGAACCTCCACCAGCGGTAGCGACCCCTCACCCACCTGTCGTGACTCCGCCCACGGTGCCGATTGCGTCACATATGAACTGCGGCATGCCAGACAGCGCTCCGAGTCACGAGTCGGTAACAGGTGAGTCCTCGCTTTGAAATCAAACTGTTCTGATGCAGCTTGTGTGAAAGCAGCTGCAGGAATCCATCCATCCATGTGTGAAACACGGCGCTCTCACCCTGCAGTCGCTCGCTTGTTAAACAGGTTAACTAAGTGCCCATTTTGGGTTCAGAGTGTCCTGATGAGCAGACGTAAAACTAAATGAGGGGGGGACCATTGAGTTGTTAATTTCAGCTAAAGACTCGTAAACCAATAAAAGTTGATGGATTCTCACGGCGGAGTTCAGCCCTTTGAGTGATCCGTCTCTATTCCGGTGTCAGAGCTGCAAACAGAGACTGACCGAGCCAGAGTGTCAGAGTCTGATTGCTTTTAACAGCCGGCCAAGTTTTCCTCTAAGAAAACAGCTATTCTTCTGTTCTGACCGTTCAGCTCAGAGTGGAAGAAGGGGATTCACATCTATCTGCTGTACAAAGTGCCAAATGTTTATTAGAAGAGATCAATTTGAATGACGCCTGATCTGTCCGGAGAGAGTGAGGCGCCTCAGGCTGGATGAACCGACAACTTCAGAGGGAAACATTTTTTCTTGAGGTGTAAATATGTAATAGCATTTCCACATGCAGTAAGTGCATGACCATATGTCAAGCGTCATTAAGCAAATAAATCATAATTTCACTTTCTCACTTTGTGGTGTAAAAGGACACTAACACCACCGTGGATCTTTATCCTTTCCTCTGTGCACCTACTCAGTCAAGCAGGAGAGAGTTAACATTGAAGAGGAACTTTTGAGGGACTCTCATTTTTTAAGATTTGTGGATTCCATCATCCAGACTGTGTCTTTTTGTTGGAAGTTAACGAGCACCCCTGCTCACACTCAGACCAGAGCCACAGCTCGTGAGAGTAGGATGTTGTAAAATATTACAAGTGAAGCACTTGCTCTTATTTGGACAGTAGAAAGGCAAAGCAGCGAGGGCGCCAGGTAAAGCAAACTAAGCGGAGGCAATGTCCCGATAAGATTTAAAATCAGGCAGACCAGGGGCGTGGAATGGGCCCCCCTTCAAATCTGATTGGCCACCCCAGGTGCCAGCCCAAAAATCCCAAACTGAGGTGGCTGAGGATGCTAAAACCAACTATCAGGTCTTTTTTTGCAAAGGCTGTCTGTATTTTTTATTCATATTGTGTCTTGTTTGTGCTTTAAATTGTTATTAAGACTTTGCACATATATTTCATAAAACAGATCCATAGGAAAGTAATGCACTCTGTCTTACTTGCTCTGAACTAATCTTTAGAAATCCACCTGTAACTATAACTTTGCAATCTAATGATTAGGCACACTGGAGGAGGTAGGACAGCAAAGCTATACCAGTAGGAGACATGTCATGGGGATGAATTAAATAGTTTAATCCCTTAAAGGCTTTATATGTGATTTTTCACTCTTAAATATAATATAAATCAAGTATATCCTCTGAAAATAACTCTGTGAGTCATGACTGTCTACAATGGGTGTAACACCCGAGTCCCACTGTCTGTGATGCTTTCCAAGTTTTCAGAGTCCTATCTTCAGTTTGTTTACATCGCCGGGACGGACAGCTGAATCCTCCCCTCACGTATAAAAGTTGTTTAATTGAGGGACTATAGAAAAGAAGAATAACATACTGTACTCACTGCTTAACTGTGTTTCTAGATCACGCTCATTTCAGGTAAATTTACATGCAGTGTGAAGATACGAGCATAATAAAGATCGCTATCATTAGCATGCTAACACAACAATATACCGCAAGTTGTTTTGGTTTCATGGCGACATCTACTGGAACAAAAAGTCGCATATAAAGCCTTTAAACTTCTTTTAGTTATATGAAAAAATAATTTATTAACCATATTGTAAATGGCACTCTGCAATATGCATTACTAAGAGGGTAAACAATGTCAAATTGGTTGGTACAGTGTGGCTAATGTTAGCAATGCTACTTCCACCAGGCGTTGGTCCTCCTTGCAGGTTAACATCTGCATGCCTGCTCTGAATGTGGTTACACATTGCTCCGTTCGAGTGGTTTATATGCCAGTTTGCCTGCACAGCTTCTCCGAGATGCCACCCTTCCACTGTGCTTGTTTACATCCAGGCAGTAGAGCGGGGAGAGCAGGCCCTTTAACTGAAAGCTACAGCCCCATCTAGTGGCTGCATGACAGCTTAGACACAACATTTAACGGACATTGTGGGCCGACATTTATAAAAAAAATACTTACAATTAATTTAACCAACTAGTAATTCTAGAGCTGACTTTCAATCTTTTAATCTTATAATCCTGCACATCCTAAATGCAAACATGTTTCAAGACAAAAGCTAATAGTCGCCGAAATGGTCCCTTATTGCACTGCTGCAGATCTGTTCGGACTATTTTGCTCACCAAATTATTGTGCATGAAACCGACGAACAGAGACTATTAATGAAAAGCAGAATGTTTCATACATCACAAATAGTGTGATCATCAGTCTATAGATTCTGCAAACAAAGATTCATGGGGGCTGAATGAAGCAGCTGGTGTTACTTAGGTGTTTTAAGAGAATTGCATTTTGCCCCCTTTATATCCCTAGACTCTCCTGCCTCGCTGGCCCTGCTGGTCCTCTACATCCTCCTCGGCGTGGTGGCAGGCTGCGTGGTGCTCTGTTGGTGCTGCTGGTCGCCCGGCTGGTTCCTGTGGCGTATCAGCATCTGTCGCTTCTTACCCTGCTGCAACGTGCCCTGCTCCTCCTGCCAGCTCTGCGCTCAAAGCTGCACGCACGGCAAGGAGCACCGACTGGCAAAAGTCACACCACACACACCGGTCAACGGGACCCCGGCAGGCACGGCGGCAAACGCCAACAGTGCTGAAGAAAATGTTACCGTGGCACCAGTTTAGAGGAGGAAGTTCTGACAGGTCGGTCTGTTTCTGCACACAGAGACTTGGGGTTTATCAAACTGATGCTAAGCTGGGATCAGAGGAACAGCTGACTAAACGAAGAATCTTCAATTCCTTTGGTGTGGGTGTTTTCTTTGCTTTAAATATGACGCAGGAGAAAGACTGCTCTTTTCTTATTTGTTGAAGGAGAAGGAGGGTATAATGTGACTATGGATTGTCACATTGGAAGTTCAGCTCATGATGTCTGATGGCGGCACATTTAAGCCGTTTTCACACATGCACTGCTCACCAACTACTCCCATTGGCCCGAGGTTAATTCTCCTGATAATATCCTGCTGCTTTCTCCCATCAGCTCACTCGGACTTGCTGTGGAAAAAACACTAGGGGGTCTGGCAGGAGAAACACCGGGGGAAGTCAGAACGAAAGATTTGGCTGTTTACGTTCACACATACAGCTCCTCCGGCAAATATCAGGAGTTTTCTGCAACAGTGAAAGTCCTTTCAGTTATAGATTAAAGAGACCGCTCATGGTGAGGGCGGCCTGGGTCTGAATCCAACCTGTAGCTCCTGTCATAACCCTCTCTCTCTCTCTCTCTCTCTCTCTCTCTCCATGATTTCTGCCTCTATCCACTGTCCTGTCTCTGAATAAAGGCATAAAAAGCCCAACAATACATCTATAAAGAGACTGCTCTTCAAGTGTGAATAGTGCAGCCTTTAATACTCTGCAAGTTTTAAAAAAGAAACAATAACAATTTGTTAGTTTGAGAAGTGTTTTTAATCATTTATGTTCGTAAAACATCATTTAACTTTCCTATCTTAAAAGTAACCGTTCAGCCATGCAGTCGAGTGCAGAACACTCCAGGTCTTCAGCTTTGACCAAAAGTATTCCTCGGCGACGTGCTGAGCCGACAGGGCTCAGAGTCACCCACCTGGTGACAGCAGCTGCTCTCTGTGTGAGAAATTCCTTCTTCAACTTGTCCACTCTCCTCTCAGCGGTCTCTGTTGTTCCAAATATAAACCAATGTGAAGTTTGGACGATGAGGCACAAAGGCTTGAGGTTTCTCGTTAAAAACGTTGTGCTTATTATGTTTTCTTTATTTTCCCTTACAGTTGCCTACAAGCTTTCAAACACACAAGCATCTTTTTCTACCTTCAGCTAGTTCAGACTCAAGATGAGATCATTTGTCCAGGAGGAACAGTATTACAAAAACTGTGTTTTAATTCATCATGCACACAAAGCGCATGTTTTTTCACTGTATTTCTGTAAATGTTGAGTTCAAAAGGAGGATTGTACAGATGTAATGATTGACAGAATTGCTGCTTTTGAAATAAACAGATGACACTCATGCACTCAGTGAAGAAGACCCCTCAACCCTGTTAGGCCCCTACACCCTACTGATAAGTTACATAACCTTATGGCCCTTAGTTCCAACAGCAACAAAACAATATGGCCTCCTTCAACAGACCCAGGCTCTGTTTAGCCAGCTAGCCTATCCCCCCACAACTCAGACTAATGGGTAGCCAGAGTCAGGTCAAGTGGGAACGTCCCTTCACTAGTGTTTTGTCCAATTTGATGTAAACACCCCAGCATATGGTTCTTGGCTGATGTTGTAGTACTCAGATTGGTCTTGGTTTAAAGACCAGTCTGGAATTGAAAGCATTTTAACTCGGTCTTGTTTCAGTCTCAGACTCCAGATTTTAAATCAAGACCGGTCAAGACCACCACTGGTAGGCTACATCACTACTGAGATTACAAGGAAAACGCCTCTTTCTAAAACAACCAATGACTTCAATTTATTTGTGTTTTGATTTGTATCCCCCGGTTACGGCCACAACCTTCCCGTCTTGCGGCCTAATTGAGTGACACACCCCTAAACACAAGTTGATGATTGTTCAGTGGTATTTATGGTCTTGGTTTTGTCTTGGTCTCGCCCTGCCTTGGTCTTGACTCGTTCTCGATCCCTAAAGGTCTTGGTCTTGTCTCTGTCTCGATCCCCAAAGGTCTTGGTCTTGACTCGGTCTCAATCCCTTAAGGTCTTGGTCTTGTCTCGGTCTCGATCCCCAAAGGTCTTGGTCTTGACTCGGTCTCAATCCCTAAAGATCTTGGTCTTGTCTCGGTCTCGATCCCTAAAGGTCTAGGTCTTGATTCGGTCTCGATCCCCAAAGGTCTTGGTCTTGACTCGGTCTCAATCCCTAAAGGTCTTGGTCTTGTCTCGGTCTCGATCCCTAAAGGTCTAGGTCTTGATTCGGTCTCGATCCCTAAAGGTCTTGGTCTTGTCTCAGTCTTGGAGCACTCTGGTCTCGGGTGTGTTTTGGTCTCAGTTAGTGTGGTTTTGACTACAACACTATTCTTTTCTCTAAATGTGTAACCATGGAATACATAATTATCATTTTTTCAAAGAGTTTATTGTAAATCAGCGATTTCTTTATGTTTCAATGAACAGCTCATTAAACAATGTATGAATACAGCTTTGTAGCTGCTGATATTGTCGCAGTAGAGGCTTTATACCATATTTAAATATTTAGTTTCCATTCTTGGCGTGCTGTGTGCGAGCATTTGTAAAGGAGACATGCAGATGTTTCATAGTTTTGGCATTGTGAATTAGTAAGACTGCCTTTATTGACTGCCTTAAACAGTATTTATTGTCTCAGTGGTCCAAATCAGAGGGGTCTTCTGCCAAACGTGATTAGAGTTAAACAAAAATGTGGCTACAGATAGCCTAAAAAGGTCTTAGTGATTGAGATAAACTGTAAAGTAATGACCTCTATACATGTATCAAACTGAACAAAGTTAATATTTAACAAATTACTAGAGATGTTCGTGGCGCTGATAGCCTAGCAGCTAGGTCGCCGCCCCATGTGTTGCCCTCAAAGCAGGCAGCCTGGATTCGAGTACAACCTGTGGCTCCTTCTCCTGATTTCCTACTCTATCCCCTGTGCTGTCTAAATAAAGGCAAAGGCCCCCCGAAAAATCTCAAACAAACAAAAATAAGAGATATTCCTGTAAATTTCCCATTTAATATTGGCAGACCAATAATACATAAAAGGGGCTTTAAAGTGATGATTTGTAATTAATTTTAAAAGAGGGTAAAGAAATTAAAGTAAAATAAAACATTGGAAATGAAACTGAACTGATAGAGAGATGTTGGTTCATACTTACGAGGCAGCCATTAGTATCTCCTTTAAAACATGGCTTTTCAGTTTTTAAATTGCATATCTTTCAATTTCACACTGGAGCACTTCATGTTTCATATGTACAGGCACTGGGTATGCTTTTAAAACTAAAACTCAGAAAAATTGCCCTTTTTTTGCTGTCAAAATAAAACAAAAAACATTGGACGTGTAAATAAAAGACAATACAAGAAAAATACATATACAAATAAATAACTTTTTAAGGTCATTTTTAAATAATAATCTTCCCAGACAGTTTTCCATGGTCACAGATGTTCTTTCATGTGTTGAATACTAGAGTACCGCAGGGCAGCGTGCTCGGCCCCTTCTTATTAACCCTTCACACCGTCAACTGCAATCCCTGATATGACTGTGTGGCTTTGTATTGATGTATGCAGATGACACCTTGTTCTACCAAACTTCATACAATAATAATGAGACTTTATATCTGGAGTAGATCAACAATCTTGAAGAGTGGCGCAGAGAGGTATAACCTACTGCTGTACACTAAAAAAAGAAAGGAAGTCATTGTTGATTTTAGAAACAAAGTCACACAACCCCATCTACATCAGTGGATCTAAGGAGCAGCAAGTGTTTCAGGGGATTCTCACGTCATCAGACTGGCTTAGAAACAGCTTTATATCCCTCCGAGAAAACTTTATAGAGCAAGATTCCTGTGCTGAATTTTTCATTTCTAACAGAGGAGAAAAAGAGAACTTGACTAGAAGACAGACTGAAGTGGTTGCCTCCTGAACTCTTAAAGTCTCAAATGTACTGCAACCTGTAGGTTACCATCTCTGTGTAAAGTTTGTCTGATTCTAAAGCTCAACGTATCCAGTTAACTGAATGTAAAGTCTGTTTTTTTCACATGGGTCTTTTTGTTTGATTGTTTTAGAACTTGAGTCTGTCTCTTTGGAAGGTTTCCTCTCATTTGAATACACCCCAATAAAATGATTGGACAGATTTATAACCCACCTGCAACTGCCATAAAAACCAAATAAATTACAATAACAGCAATAATGATAGATTTAATTTATATAGCTCCTTTCAAGGGACCCAAGCATGCTTTACAGCTGGGACAAAAAACCAAGAACAAGGCTAAGACAAGTAACAAAGGATGGGAGTCCAATGGGGAGGCAGAGTTATGAGAGGTTGTAGGCGGTGGTGAACAGATGGTGCTTCTGGAGTTTTTAAAATGTGTCCAAAGATGGGGCATGGCAAGTTACTAAAGGGAGCGCTTTCTAGTGGGTGGGGGCTATGATGCTGAAGGCTCCATCAGGAGTCTGGTGTTGGGGATGGAAAGCAGCTGGTGTCCTAGGACTGGAGGTTCCAGGAAGTAGTGTTCGGGTTTAAGAGGGCTTCGAGGTACTGCGGGGCAAAGAGCATTTATTGGATTGGGAGCCAGTGGAGCTGGATGAGGGTTGGAATTTTGTACGTACTAGAGCCTGTCCAGGGCTTTGCTGGGTACCCCAGACAGGACTCCATTGCAGTAATGAAGACAGGAGGTTATGAAGGCGTGAGTTGGGATTTCTGCCACAGAGTCGAGAATGTTATTTTTTTTTTAATTAAGGAGCTACAGATTTGATTTGGGAGTGGAATGAGATGTTTGAGGCTATGATGACGCCTAGGTTGTGGACCTCGGAGGATGGACAGATGGAGCCACCGTCTACATCCAGTAGGACAGATCTCCAACCTTCCTGAGGTTTAAGGAAATTGTTTGACATCCAGGTATTGATTTTTAAATCTCAAAGCCATCTATTTATTGATTTCTTGCAAGATGTTAAGATACTTTCAAATAATAGAACAAAAAATGCATGCAAAATAAATTGCCTACTCATATTTGAAGGTGGGTCTGCACACATATATTTGTTGGGATTAATATTATTGTTTATGCAAAAATATATTTTAGACAAGGATGGACTAACTGTGATGGAATTATTGCAAATCTCTGCCATGAATCAAGTATTTTTCGTCTTTGCAGTAGAATCCTCTGCCTGCTTTCCCAGGCTTCATACAGACAGTACAGTAGATTCAATCCCCCTGTCTTCTTCTTTCACTCAGATTGATGCTCGATGTGAGGGGCAACCTGTGTTCCATGTGTCCACCAGGCAAACTTTCTTTTTGACATCATCTGGATGAAGTAGCTATATAACCTTTCCCCAGTCTGTGTCTTTGATAGGAAACAAGGCCATATGCTTAAACAAACCATGTGTTTCTGACCGGCAGGTTGCCAGGCTGCAGCGCTTTAAAAGCATGCAGACTACTTAATCTGTCCTGCTTCCTGCCCCGGACTGTACAGGAATACGCGTGCAGCTGAACACCCATCACACACACACAGCATGTCTGTATACGTTTAATCAACCTACACGCACGGAGACAGGCATGTGCGTCAATGTGTGGAGAAGGTCAGATGCTCCTGCCAGCTAGACGTTTAACTGTTAGCTTACATATGATGAGCATTTTGATGAGTCTCACTGTTTGGATGGGTATTTAATAAAAATCTATCCATCCCTT